TATATATATGTATGTATGTATGTATGTATGCATTGATGCCCTGAGACTGTTAACCTGATGCTGAGATATAACAAACCAGATAATACTTCTGGAGGGAACTGAGGCTGATCGCCAAAGAGGAAGCTTGTGGTAGTACAGAGAGAGCAAATCCAGCTGCTTTTTGACCCTTTTTCACCTTTTCCTCTTGGGGAGGAGGGTGAATCCAGGGTCTTGTGCAACCCAGTCACCTTCTTCTTATCTCCCTCCCCCTCGTGCCCATCTCCCAGCTTTGCTCTGTCCTTGCAGGTCCAGGCGAACGTGGAGAAGTCCTTGACCCTCTTTGGGCAGCTCCTGAACAAGAAGCACTTCTTGCTGACCTTCATTCGCACTCTGGAGGCTCAGCGGAGCTTCTCCATGCGGGATCGCGGCAATGTGGCCTCCCTCATCATGACAGCGCTGCAGGGCGAGATGGAGTACGCCACGGGCGTGCTGAAGCAACTCCTCTCTGACCTCATTGAGAAGAATCTGGAGAGTAAGAACCACCCCAAGCTTCTTTTGCGGAGGTGAGTGTCCATCCGAGAGGTCAGAGCTGTGGGACAGTGCCCAGGCTCTTCTGAGTGTGTGGACGTGAGCTGGTGTCCTTTAGGGATGCCATCAGGGATGGCTTTGGTGTTGGCTTTGGCAACGTCTGCGCTGGGTCTGTGGTGAAGCATTTCCTTGCCTGTTTGCTTGCAAGTATGAGAGAGGGTTGTGGGGCCACCTGGAACCAGCCAGCTCAGGAGCTGCCCACCGGAAGTTCTCGCTCTGGTTTTGCCCGTGCAGGTTCTTGTTGTCTGGGAAGGAGGGAGCAAGATGCTTGGCAGCTGCTGGCAGGGTAAGCTGGTGCAGGGAGGATGCACGCTGGAGTCAGGCGCTGTTGTGTGTCACCGCAGCGATGCTCCCACCTGCCTTCCCTTCTCCGGGTGACCAGGCGGTCCCCACACCTCCCGGCATGTGGGATGGCTCTCGCCTGGCCTGGCAGCTGCCTTGCTGCATGCGTGCCTTGGCGGGCTGGCAGCAGGCAGGAGTCCTCCTTTCCCGCTGACTCCTTGGGGCTTGCCCGCCTTGCCGGGCGCATGGGGGTTTTCCTGGGAAAGCCAAGCGGATCTTCGCAAGCTGGGAGGCTCGCCGGGGCTGGGGGGGAGCGCGAGCAGGAGGCAGCCTGCCAAGCCCTGCCGTGAATCTGCCCGGCCCATCAATATTTAACGATAGCTCTGAGCTCTCCTTCATCACGGGCTGCTGAATATTGAAAGATATACCAAGTGCTGAACAAAAACAATTAATAAGCTCCACCAGCCCAGCTCGAGGCCCTGCGTTGCTGCCTTCTCCCTTCACACGCTGTGCCATGCCTCCTCATCTCTGCCTCCACCAGCCTGGTGCCACCAGCCTTCGGGCTGAGAGCCACGGGGCTGGCACGTCACTGGGAAGGCTCAAGAAAACCAGAGCATCTTTCAAACATCAACCCATGTTCATGGCATGCCAAACCAGAGGAAGCCTGTTGGGTTTTGTGTGCCTGGCCCTGGGGAGACGCCTGGAGAAGGCACAGATGTGAACTGGTCCCAGTTACATCGCTGCTGCCTTTCCTCAGACAGTCTCTTCAGGCACATTGCTTTCTTATTCTCTCTGCTGCTTTTATCACATTACAAGGGTGCCCTTAGTTTCTCAAAGCACCTCATTAGCGATGTGCCAGAGAGAGAGTGCAGTGCAGACCTGTGGCTGGCCAGGAGAGGGGTGGGTCTTGGAGATGCCAACCCCTGTCCCCCATCCCTGTACCCTGAGCACATCTTTAGGCTCTTCCATTCTCACTGTCCCTCCATGACACCAGGCTTCACTGAAATATTTAGACTGTATTTCCAGCTCCTGGGTCTCTCAGAGCATCACAAAGCCACTACCATCAGAGCAAAACTCCGGAAGGAAGTAAATCAATAAAATATAAATAAAAGACAGTGCAGGGAGGCCAGCAGCTGCAGTGGCTGAGCCGTGGGAATAGCATGGAGGAGGCAGAGCCCAGCCCGCACTGGTGCGGCGAGAGCTGGCAGCCCAGGACTGTTGGTCCCCAGCCACGGAGTTTGGGGGTTCGTCGCAGGTGGAGCTGCAGAAGGCTTAGGACAGGGATGGGGTCCCCTGGCCGGTATCTTGCTCGTGCCTCCCTGAATGATCTTTAAAGAGACTTTGTTCTTCCTGCAGCTGCGGCACGGAGCAAGCGGTGCTGAGGGCTGTGCTTCTCCGTCCTTTTGATTAGCCCTGCTGTTGGGCGCGAGAGTGTGCTTACTGCCCAGGGCAACTGGATTAACATTGATCTAACTGGGGAGAGCTGTTATTTATTTTGTTATTGGATAATCCCCTGGTTGCTGTGGCATCTGGCTCTATCGCGGATAAAGACAAACATGACGGAGCCCGGGTGGTGGCACTTCAGATGAGTGTTACAGGCTTGTCAGTGGAGGACCTGGTCTGGGGACAGGGCAAGGATGTCTGCTGAATAGCTTCAGTCCACCCCTTCCCTTGGCTTTCTCCCCATGTCCCTTTCCTTCTCCCTTTTTTCTTCCCATTGATGGATTAATCTTTCCTGGCAGGGCGCAGGAAGGCTTCCCTCCTCTGGAGGCTCAGATATTGCCATCCCCTAATGGTTTAAGGAGAGCTGTGCTATTCCAGGGAGGGAAAAAAGGGCTAAGCCCCATTAGCATGAGAGAAAGCCTTGGAAGGGACTCAACCACCCCGAGTCAGCTTGAATAAACTCTGGCAAAGTGGATTTCCTACCCCGGCCATCTGGCCACCGGGAACTGCTCCTGTCCCGTCTGCCAGGCATGGCGTTGCTGTTGAATGGTGTGTGGCATTGGGCAGTGGGACTCTTTCTGGTGGCTCTGAGGTTCGGGCTCCTTCTGGATTTTGTCTCTTGAATCAAGCCCTTTGTGCCCGTTCCCCTGGTGCAAGGGGAATGCAGCCACGTTCGTGAGTTACTAGTATTGCTTGTGCTTTGAGGAGCATCTGTGTTTGCGAGTGACTGATCTGATGATTAATGGGTGGACAAGCTGAAGAAGCCTAACTGGAGAGGGTCGGGGGGCTGGCTGGCATTTTTACTTTAGAGAGAGTGAAAGCCACTTTAAAAATAATGGACACATTAAGAACAATTTTAATCTTACGGCAGCGAGACCAGGCTGTGGTGCAGAGACAGGCACGTTCAGCTGCGCTTGTAGGGCTGCACAGTTTGCCTGACTCCTGTGTCACCCTCAGCTCCCTCGGTGCCAGGCTGTCCCTCTGCTCTGCTGATGCGGCACATCCTGGCTGCAGTCCCACCAACCCGAGGTCCTCACGTCCTATTCGGACCCACCACATCTCACAGCCACCCTGCGGGATGCTGCTCTCCCTCTTGTGCACATGCTGCATGATGATGGTCCCCAACAGACACAGGGGACTCCCCTCGGCCTTCCCTGCCATGCTGCTTTGGAGCACAATGGAGTCTGGATTTCAGCCATGCTTTAGGAAACTAAGGACAATATATAGGTTTTCTCAAGGCAGTTCTGGCTGCTTCCTTCAACTGCATCTCCAAAAGCTGAGAGGCACAGCTCCATTTTTAAACTCCTTTTGGAGCAGGTGGTTCCAGCATTATTGTTCACTCCAAAATTCCAGATCACCACCCGACTCTGAGGAGACACACAGAGACCCGGGATTTCCACCATGTATGCAGGAAAGGGTTAAATCCCAAGCCTGGCACAGTGTCTTTGCACTGTACGCCAAAGGTACATGGAAAACAGCTGAAGCTTCCAGCCGCTGCTGTTACTCCTTCCTCCTTTAATCCCCTTGTTCTTGGCTGAGTTAGTACTGGGGATAAGTTTGACCAAAACCGTATCGGAATCAAAGTCTCCAGACATAAATCCGGCAGTGGCTTTACCCAAGGCCATGTGCCAGCGGACCGGTGCCTTCTCTGCATTGCAGGGCTCTGTGTCCCTGCCCAAAAGCCACCCAGATTCAGTCCCAAGAGCAGGGGCACGGAGAGAAGTGAGGGTGCAGATCATGGCATCCTAAAGCTTCACCATCACCATCACTGAGTGCCAGGAACCAGGTGCCTTTTCCTCCAGCAGTTCTTCTGAGCAGACCTTACACAGACTGGTGGGGAAAACTCTTCTTTATCTCTCCAGTATTGGTGGTGATTGTCCTCTTGCTCTGCTGTGGGTCCTGGGCTTTGAGACTGTAGAGATCAAGGGCTGCTTTGGGGATTGCAGGGAAGTTCCATGTCACCCAGTAACGGTGGGACTGTGTCAGGGCAATAGTGATGTTGGGTGCATTGCCAGAGCAGAAGTCAGCAGCAGCTCCCAGGTGGGGAGAGGGACTTCCAGCTAGATCGGGCATGTGGGATGCCAGCGGAGGTGCTCCTGTCATGGGAATGTGGGTCAGAATCTGACTTTGCTTTGCAGCCTCAGTTCTTCCCTTCAGGTTGTGCTTTAACTGGGAGCTTGAGGTAGACTTGGTGACATTTTACCTGGCTTAGGTGTCTCATGCAATCCTCCCGTGGAGGGAGCTGCCTCGTTCCAATGGGACACGATGGAAGAAACAAACTGCATCAAAGGAGAAGGTACCAGGGAGAAGCAGAGAGCTGATCATCACCTGAGCGAGACTCCCCATGGGACAAGGTCATGCCTGGGTCTCTCCGGTTCTCCAAATACGCTGGAGACCAATTTGCCCTGGGGGGCTGCTGTGGCTCAGCCCTGCGGATGGGCAGGCTTTGCACTAGAGCTCTTGCTGTCTGCTTGTGCCCCTTCGCTTCGAGACTCCTGCCTTGCCAGATGTGACCTTTTGAAGCCAAAAAATAATTTAGCCACAGTCCAAGGCTGAGGTGGCAACGGGTGAGATCAAAGACCTTTAATATCCTCTGCTGACAGCTTTTCTCCCTGCATTCCCTACAGAACGGAGTCCGTGGCAGAGAAGATGCTGACAAACTGGTTCACATTTCTGCTGTACAAGTTTCTGAAGGTGAGCTTGGGAAGGGAGGGCAACCCCGCACGGGCAGAGGGTTGGTTCCTGCCTCGCTGGGACGGGCAGCATGGTGCCCAAAGCCTGGGCTGATGTGCTGCTGAGCACTGCCGCTCCCTCCCGGAGCAGAGGTCGCTTCCCAGGTCTCTGTTCCCATCCTGTGTTCCTGAGATGTGATTAGCGATTCTGGGTCTCCTTTTGGGGAAATATCTGAGATTGAGAAATGAAATTCAGACTTGGATTTCTTAATGTGTAGTGGGTTTGAGATCTTCTTAAAAACAGTGCCTGGAGAAAGGATAAACCTGATACAAGTCAGCTGATTCTTGAATACCTTCGGAGTGGTCCCCACTCCTCCCTCCTTGCCTATGCTTGCATAACTTGGGAGGAAAAAGCGCCAGGAGCTGGTTCTTCTGTAGGCATGACTGTGATCGAAGGATATTTCTGCCTGTTTGGGCTGTAGTTTGGTGTGCTGCACTCTTGATGTAATGCTGGTGCTTTTCCTTCATTGCTTTCACACGGAGGCTCAATGGTAGGGGAATCGCTTCCTCCAGGCATCTCCACTTCTGCTGCTACTTCCCCTCCAAAAGGTGCCCCGGTGGGGATGGACGCCCTGTGGGGCCTGCTGGCAGCCAGGGACACGGCTCTCTCCACCATGCGTGCATGAGGGTGCAGAACCCATTCGCCTGAATTCGCCTTTTTCCCCAATTTCATCAGGGTAGCAGAAGAGGATGCCAAAGCATAAGGACTGCTTTTAGCGCTGGTTCATCCAGCCCGTATCGAGAACGTTTATTCCATCAGCACCGGTGCTTCACCTGCTAGAGCCACACCAGCAGCCGTGGGGGTTACACAGCCTCAGCTCCAGCCTGTGGACCCCCGGCTCGGTCCTGCTGCTGCGTTGGGATGACACCGGCAGCATGAACGGTGCCTGCAGTCCTGCTGCAGGTCTGTCAGTCAGCAGAGCCGTTTCTTGGGATCCTGCTGGGCGTCAGCGCAGCGAGGCTGGGTGGCACGCAGCCGTTTTTGTGGGATTTCATCCCTCATTAAGATAAAGAGGGTTTGAACCATTTCCAGTCAAGAGATGAGAGCGAGCGGGAGTCTGTGCAGAACTCAAGCGATCGTCAACGAGAGGTGATTTATAATATCACTTACATGCACTTGGCTTTTTGCCTCTGTCAAGGGATAGCCTGTATCTGTAAAAATCTAGCTGTAGCTTGTGGTGGAGATTGCTTTCCAGAGGTGGGAGAGAAGGAAAGCTGTGCTGTTCATGGGGAGATGTCAAACCTCCCAGTACCTCTTCAGGCCAGGGCTTTGCTCGGTGGGACCACCCTCCGCCCCTGCAGCAGCAGTGGCCGGTGGGATCAGGTAGGACACTGGCAGACGGCTCTTTGGGCTTAGCAGGGTCAATGGGACAAGTAGGAGTAGCTCTTGCTGTGGATGAACTCATCCAAGGGCTCCTTGAAGTGGACAAGGTTGTGCTTTGGCTGAGCAAAGCGCAGCACATAGACTTCGTGTGCCTACAGTGGTGTTTGGGGACATTGCATTTGTGCATGGGACCTGATACCCTTGGCCAGTCCCTGGCTGGGCTGAGCCCTGTGGACAGGTCACAGGGATATGTTCACCTTGTTCAGAAGCTTCTTTGGGCCAGTTCATGTGCCACTGCTGTCCTGCATCTGTGCTTGTCCAGCCCTGTCCCGCTTCAGAGAGTCTGCTGGGTGCATCGTCAGTGTGGGGCAGGTCTAAGGATAAGGAGTAGCAGGGCAGAAAGATGTGGGGATGGGACATGGGCAATGCCTGCCTATAAAGTCCTTGGCTAAGTCATGGCTTTGGCAGGGGAAATCGCCACCAGTCTCTGGGTGGTGGCAGCAGGAGAGAAGTCTGATCTAGATGCACCTACATGTCAGAAACCTGTGTGGAGGGTTTGGATAAACCCCGCTGGCTGTGAGATTGCAACGCTGGGGATCATCTCCCTGGGGGAGTGGTTGAAACTCCATCACTTGGGTCCCTGGAGCTAGACTGGAAGAGGCTTGAGGATGTACTCATGGCCTCTCCTGGGTCAGTCCCACCAGAGGAGACCCACAGGGCTGTTTCTGCCTGTCTGCTGGCAGTGAGGATCACAGGTGGCATCAAAAGCAGGAGAAACCCATGGAGTAGATAGAGAGGTATCACAGCAGACAGTTTGCCAGCAGGGAAACATATGCCTTGCACCAAACCGCGGTAATCGTGCATGTAAATGAGGCAGGCGGACGTGTGCCCAGCTGCCAGATCGGCTCTCGGCAAACCTGCCCGGAGCAGGGCTCGGTGCTTGGCATCGCGCGGCCATGATGTGCTGGGGAGATGGAGACAGGGACAGGACAGCCCCCCCCGCCCAGGGCCAGCAGCGTGGGGAGCCAGCAAGGGCTGGTGATTTCACAGGGACCCCATAGTAGCATTTATCAGACTCTTAATGAGACACCCAGGGGAAAGGGAGTGGGATAAATCAAGACAAGCACTGAAAAATGCACGATATTAGGTGCCTGATGAGCTAGATCTAGTCAATAAGGCAGTTTGAGCGTTAGCTGGCTTGCCTCAGCCTGCTCCCCACGTACCGACGCAGGCAGGGTTGTGCCGTGCGTGGGGCTGTTTGCAGTCACCCTCCTCCAGCTCGGCTCGCACAGAGAGCCCCCCTAACCCCCCCCTTGCTCAGGCCCTCAGCAGTGAGTGAAGTGCGTTGGGGCTGGCAGCATGGGCATGGCTGTGGGGGTGGGGCAGGCTGCCCTCCCTCCCTCTGCAGGGCTGCCTGTCCCCATCTTGGCGTCCCCTCCTGTACCTCAGCTGGTGGAGATCATCTCAGGGCAGCTGCCTGGCCATGTGCTCTGCTGTCCCTGTTCATTTTGGTGGTCTCTGGCAGGGACAAGCCCTAGACCATCCTTATCTGTAGTGGCTCAGTGAGCTGAGACCCACAGCAGCATCTTGGCTCAGATCTTCAAGAGCTGATGGGGATGGTGAGATTGGGAGTGAGGTTTTGGATTTTAAGGGTAGAACTCACATTTAGGATAGGTGAGGAAGCCAAACTGTAACATGGAGGATGCACAGAGCCAGGAGGACAGGGGAGAGGGGCTGTTTCAGTTGACATTAGGGTGCCCGAGAGGTCAGAAGAAGACCAGGAGCCACAGAGCGATCCCTGGGCATGCAGGATCCCCTGAAAGCCCGCGTGGTGCTGGAGGAGCAATGTACCCATCACCAGGACCCCTGACGCCTCCATGGACATCATAGGGCCAACTCTAATCCACACATCCAAAAATAAATGTGTTCCCCATCAGCCCGGCTGGTGTCTGAGTAGCGGAGGAGGCGATGCCTGGAGTGCCGCCGGGCTGCCGATGTGGGAAGGACTGAACCCACCGTTCTCAGCGGGGACCCTCAGAGGTGGGCGCAGAGCTGCAGGTGTGTAGGGGGACAGCAACCATGCCTTGCCTGGAGAGGGGAAATCTGTGGGCTGAGACAGGAGCGGCTGGGCCGAAAGAAGCAGCTTGAGTCTTTCCACCACGGCCAGAGGGGTGGGCTTGGGGTGCCGTGGGAGTCCCCGGGGGCTCACAGCTCTGCAGCCAGCCTGGCGCTCCCGCCTTGCCGGGCAGCCGGTAATGCGCAGCGCAGCACCCACCTTGGGTCTCTCACTTTTCCAAGCTGACTTAATGAAGCCAAGTTTGCAAATGAAACATAATTTCGAAGACAGGCACGTTGTTGGAAGGTCTGGGGATGATGTATGCCTGTTCCTACTCGTTAGCAGCTGTCTCTTTAATTACCGCAGATGCTAACGAGATGCTAACAGCATATGGTGACAGGGAGAGCAGCCGCACTTTGCACCAAAGTACGATTTATTTGTGAGGCGGCTGGGAGGGAGGGGCGAGGGCTGGTGGGGGGAAAGCTGCTGGGACTTCTCCCCATCCTCTCTGCTCCCATCATACCCGATTTTCCCCCTTAGGGCTAATGTCTGTATCTGGAGGGGCTCATCTGGATGCAGCTCAGGGGAGAGGTTGGGCCCTGGGTGATAAGGGGGAGTCCACTTCCAGCCCCCCTGCGCCAGCTCATGGCTCCAGGCTGGTTGGTGGCTCCAACCTTGGCGGGTCCTTTGCTGTTCCCAGGTTGCTGCCGTTCCAGCATCCATCATCTTCAGGGGAAGCGTCTGGTCTGGTTTCCCTCTCGCTTTCTTCCCACTTGGGAGACAGATAGATGCTGACGTGGCTCTGGCTGGTGGCTAGAGCAGGCTCTGACTATAGGGGTTTGGCCGTGGGGACATGTAGGTGGAAAATGGTTTAACTGCAGGAAACCTCATTGCCTGGTCCCCTCTGTCAGCTGGATACGGTTGTCAGGGAGTTGCTCTCTTGCTTTTCCTTCCTGATGGATCTGGCTGGCTGTGCTTAGCCGTCATGTGGAGACACCTCCTTTGACCTTCTCTTGTGTGAGAGTGGGCTCCTGGCAGATGCCAAAACTGCATCGTGATCCCTGGGCAAGAGCCACCAGGCTGTCCTGCTGTAGCGTGCCCTTTCCAGTCCTCAGGTGCTTCTCTTGGCTGGGCCAGCTCAAAGGATAGACTATATCGCGTACACAAAGTCCCAGGACTCAAGCTGTTCTTCACTAGCCATGAATTTGACCTTTTTACCTCATTTTTTTTTCCCTGTAGAATGAGCAGAACTCACCAGGGAGTGTCTGGAATCTCTGGGAAGCAGAGCCTAGGGGTTGATAGACAAGCGAACCACCCCCAGCAGGCTTGGGCAGAGAGAATGAGTTCCTCCACGGGATGAATTTTAGCGTGTGCCCCCTTCCTTGCAGTCTTGAGCAAGGACTCGAGACTCTTTATAAAGCCACGTATGGGGCTCGATGCTGCGGGGACACAGCAGTCTCCTGACATGGTGGTGGTTCTTGAAAGGCACAGGTGGTACCCAGCACCTTCTCACCACTCTCTCTTCCTCTCCTCCTTCCCCAGTCCTGCAGGAGGCTCGGTACTCCCTCAGTGAAGACAAGCTTATCCGGCAGCAGATTGACTACAAAATGCTGGTTAGTGCAAGCAGGATCCTCACCAATACTGGTGCTTGCCAGGACTGCTAGGTCCAGCTATTTAACAAGATCTTGTTTTTCTCCCCGACATTCCTGGGGCACCTCTTCCCCTGTCTGTGTGGTGCCCATCTCAGCTAGGGTCAGAAATGAGGCCTTTGTGTGGCAAGGTTTGCTCTTGCCATGGACCTGAGAAAGCCAAACGTGAACTGAATCGCCCTCCGTGCCTCTCCCAGCAAAACCCCATGGCCCTGACAGATACAGGTCCCGAGATGCTGTTGAACACATACTACGTGGAGCAGCTGGTGGCTCATGTTGGGTGGGGATCAATGTTAGAGCCTGGAGATTACTGCAGGATGTGAAGAGATACGTCTCTTCCTCCATATGAGCTGTTGTCTCTGTCCAACTGAATGATAAGCCAGGCCCTTCCCCTGGCTGATCCTGCAGCTCGTTCTTCACCACCTCCATCTCCACCGGGCTGGGGTTGGGAGGGGTGTGGAGCATCCACAGGCATCGCTCAGGCTGGACAGGTTTCTGTCAGATGGGCATGGTTTGCTGGCCCAGGATTCCTTCCCTGACACCATGCTGCCTTTCTGGGAGTAGTTGGAGATTTGAGGACTGGGGGAGAGAGGTGGAGAGGAAGGGGGAGCAGGAATATGCCATGTGGCTGCACTTCTGCAGTGGCCCCGCAGGTGAGAAGACATGGCCTGTAGACGGTTGTAGCCCCGTGTCCTTGGACCTGCCTTTGCAGCCAGTGTGTCACATCCTCTCACTGGAGTCTTTCTGCCCCCCTGTGCTGTGCAGACCCTCAACTGCGTGAACCCTGAGAATGAGAACGCCCCAGAGATCCCCGTCAAGGTGCTGAACTGCGACACCATCACGCAGGTGAAAGAGAAGCTTCTGGACGCCGTCTACAAGGGGGTGCCCTATTCACAGCGACCCAAAGCCGGAGACATGGACCTGGGTAAGAGTGAGGCCAAGCGCTTCCTTGTGGGGAGCAGGGATGTGGCCAAGAGCAGAAATGCCAAAGAAAACCCATTCAAGGCAGGCAACTCCCAGTCTCCTACAGAAGAGGGGACCTGGCAGGACCGAGCATTTGTGTTTGTCCAGTCCACTTTTGCTGTGCTGGTGGCAGTGACTGTGTGTGGGGACCTTTGGCATGAGAGTGTGGGTCCTGCCAGTAGAGAGGATGGGGAGAGGAGCCTCCTTGGCTGTGGCTGTGGTCTGGATTGCAGGCTTGAGGGGGCTGAGGTCCAAGGAGGCCAGCAATAGTGTAGAACAGTGTTAATAGTCCTGTTCTTAAAGGAGGGGCAGGAGAATGAAGAGGAGCAAACGAAACGGTTGCCAGGGTCAAATTGATACTGTCTTTCCCTGAGAACTTAGAAACAGCTTTTGCCCAACACCATATTGACAGTCATTAGTCCTGGGGTTCAGAAGGTGGGGGGAGGGTTGTTCTGTTGATGTTGACTGTGCTCCTACCCTTGCCTTGGCTTTGTACTCCAAGCCCCCTCCTAACCACAAGCCCTTCTCCCTCATGGAGACAGAGTGGCGGCAGGGCAGGATGGCCCGGATCATACTGCAGGACGAAGATGTCACCACAAAGATTGACAATGACTGGAAGAGGCTAAACACCCTGGCCCACTACCAGGTAAGGCTGCCCGTGGTGGAGAGCACTGTGCAGTCACCAGCTGCTGGGAGCTTGAGCATCTCTTCTCCTTGCTCTGCTTGGTCAGGACTCGGCTTGGCTCTCCAGACCATGCTGCTTGTGTAGCCAGAAGGTCTGCAGTCACTTTATTGCTTGGACCCCATGGTTATGGTCCTTCTGTGCAAGGAAGCACTAAATGGGGCATCTCCAGGGCTCAAAGAGGCTGTTTCCTGCTCTGACCTTTCACATTTTCATGTCAAAATTTTTGGTGCGTTCCTGCTCTGACCCCTGCCTCATAGCTGTCTCAGAAGTAAATATGTAGGTCTCCTCCACAGGAGACAGATGTCTCTGGGGTGGGTGCAGTGTAGCTTCGTCCCTCCTGGGCTGGTTTCTCCCTGCTGTGGGGCTGTTCCCCTGTGCCTCTCTGGGCTCTCAGCCTGCTCACGCCTCTCTGCCCGCAGGTGACGGACAGCTCCTCGGTAGCCCTGGTGCCCAAGCAGAACTCGGCGTACAACATCTCCAACTCCTCCACCTTCACCAAGTCCCTCAGCAGATATGGTGAGCGCGCAGGGGCATCCTCCGCTGCGCTGGCAGGGGAGGCAGCACCGGGCTGGGCTGGCAGACCAAGGCACAGGGCAGGTGATTGTAACTGTGGCTCACGTGAACAAGGTCCTCCGAACCCCCGGCTCTCCTGCACCATGATATTTATTCTGGTGTTGGACAGGGAGCAGATGCCCTCAGAGCCATCTCTCTTTGCAACATCATATGCTGGGGAGAAAGACGTGTGTCAGATGGCTGCTGCTAGGGGATCCCTTGCCTTTTATTCTCCTGAAATCTAATTAAAATAGGCACAGAGGTACTTTGCGCTTAAATGAGCAGAGTTGAGGGCCCCAGAAAACATGCTGGCAAGTGTGCTTCAGCCTTGGTTTGGAAGGGAATAGTGTGGTCAGCTCAGACCAACACAGGAGGCGTCTGTGTCCGCCTGCGTGCTGGGAGCAGGGCAGGCCTCTGCAGAATCCTTCCACGATGGTCCTGGCCCCTGTACCTCAGCTGGGCTTGCAGGTAGCCCGGCAGGCCGTGAGGATGGTCCCAGCAGAGCTCTCAGTCCATGGTGACTGCAGAGGCTGGATCCTCAAGCTCCTCCTGTTTGATGGCTGTGGTGCACCCTGAAGCCATAGCGGAGGGAAGGGGGGTGGAGGAGCTGGCGGCAAGGCAGAGGTGGGTCGGGTACCAGCGTCTCCCTGTGTTGGGTGCTTGCAGAGAGCATGCTGCGGACAGCCAGCAGCCCCGACAGCCTGCGCTCGCGGACCCCCATGATCACCCCTGACCTGGAGAGCGGCACCAAGCTCTGGCACCTGGTGAAAAACCACGACCACATGGACCAGCGGGAGGGTGACCGGGGCAGCAAGATGGTCTCTGAAATCTACCTGACCCGCCTGCTAGCCACCAAGGTACAGCACGGAGACACAGAGCTACCACCTGGCTTTTTAAATCTGAATGGGGTAGTGTGGGGATTTGGGTTGTCCAAAAGTGGTAAGCACTGCTTCAGCACGGGATCAGCTGTCTTTTTTGAGCTGGAGGTGATGTTTTTGTGTGTCAAAACCCTCAGTGAATATCCTTTGAGCGGATTTTCTGATTTGCTTTTTGCACCCTTTGGCGTTTTTACTGTTCTCTGTATCCTTGAGCAGCTGCTGGACTGCAAAGCAGAGATGCCCTGGGGCAGGCGCCTCATCCTCTTTGGAGTTTGGGATAAAGCTGCAAAATCAGTGAAGTGGGAAGGGTAATTACCCGGGGCATTTGGCATCACAGCAGGTTCTGCTTCCCTCAGCGCATACAAAACCTTCTTTAGTGCTGGGTGGGTTCTGTGTGTCTGAGATGTCCCTAGAGAGGAGCGGAGGGCTGTGCCGAAGGTACTGGCTCAGGATTGCCGAGACTGGGCTCAGCCATCTCCCCTGTGACTTGGCTTCCTGCCTTGTGGGACAAGGGCTTGTTCAGCAGTGTCTGTCATCGGGTCTCGGGTACCTTAATGGGACTCAAAAAAGATCATGATATGATGTACAGTCACTTGGTTTTTAGTTCTGTACGGTGTTTTTATTTGTGTGCTTTTAGCATGTCAGATGGTGCAGTGAAGGAGGTATCTGATCACTGCAGTGTCTGTTTCCCAGTATAAACCACTGAGAACCAGTAGGGTTACACAGACTGTACTGTGCTTCTCTTCCAGGTGGTAGGAATAGAATTGAAATTGGTTTAAAAGCTGACCCTTAGTTAAAGGCTCATCTCCCTCTGGTGACGCTGGGCATTGCTGAGCCACCCTTCTCTCTTTCTCCTCCTCAGGGCACCCTGCAGAAATTCGTGGATGACCTGTTTGAGACCATCTTCAGCACAGCACATCGTGGGAGCGCGCTGCCCCTCGCCATCAAGTACATGTTTGATTTCCTGGATGAACAAGCTGATAAGCATCAGATCAATGATTACGATGTCAGGCACACCTGGAAGAGTAACTGGTAATGGAGAGGGGCAGTGGGATGGGGTGGGGGCTCCCACGGGGAGCAGAAATATGTCCCTGGAAGTGAGCCAGGACAAGAGAGGCCCATATCTCTGTATTTTGGGTGTGGGTAAATCCCTTGCATGCCTTTCTGCAGCAGAAAAAATCCCAGGAATGCAATCTCTGTCAGCCCGTCCATCCCCAAATCCCGGGCACCACGCTCCCCCTGACAGCCTGAGTTGGCTGAGGACCTCAGGCGCTCTGTGCCCATCTCCCCTTGGGCCAACGCCACTCAGGCTTCTCTATCCTCCATGTTCCTCTGGAGATGGCAGCCCCAATTCTCATCTCAGCTGTCCTAAAGGTGTTTGCACGTTCCCTCCCGTTGCTTACTCGGCCGAGTGTGCCCTAACGAAGTCGGCGTAAATCCATATGTGCGTGCTCCCTAACCTCACCCGCAGAGCCATTGGCTCTGTTCACCGTGCTCTGAAAAGCAGGGCGGAGTGGCTGATGAGATTTCCGTCAGTGCCGTGCTGGGGCCGGGGCTTCAGCAGGCGTTGGCTTCTGCTCCGCAGCCCCCCTCGGCATTTTTCTTTTCTGCTGCCTCAATGATTTCATCTCTCTGATCCTGCCGTTACTGGAGACGGGTACGTACGTTCCCGTGTCTGGCATTTGTTAAATGGCAGCCAAATTGCTTTTGTATAGTTCAGTAACTGTTGGCAATTAGCAGGGCAGGAAAAGAAACATTTTTAAATGGAGATGTGAGAGCGCGGAAGTGCTTGGAACTGATTTATAACTCAGCTTTCTATATTAAAAGAAGGAGCGAAAGGCAAAGGAGGTAAAAAAAAAGCCCCGCTCCACAGGGGCTGGGCATGCAGGCTCCTGCATACTAATGCCTGTGCTTATCTCTGGGCGCTAATTCGATGTGTGGAGCTAATTTCTTGAGGCCGTTCCCTTCACAAGTGAAATATGTACACGCACCCGGTACCCTCATTAGGAAAGTCCTGGGGAGCAAAGTGTGTTTTGTCTAAGATAAACACATTCGCTGGGTGTTGGTGCTGAGAGATGACAGAGCGGAGAGGCTTTCTGATGGGGAGAGGCCCTTGAGATGCTCCTGGGAGAGGAGACGGGCAGCAGGATTGGGAAATGGAGCTGTGGAGGATGGCATGTGTGTCAGTATGCAGCAGACATCCAGTCGGTGGCTGGCCAGGAGACCTGCTGCCTCTACAGCTGAGAGCTTTATTTCCACCATCTGAGGCTGCCTAAAATCTCCTCTGTTGTTAAATGTGCTAATGAGTCCCTTGAGGAGTCCAGTTAACTCCCTCCTCCGACACGGGAGCTGTGTGAAATGCCACACAGCGCCTGCAAAGGGATTACTGGTGCGAGAGAGGGGGACCGTGCCTGCTTTGACCCATGGGCTCAGCTGGGCTCTTCAGTATGAGTGAGTCCTTGGAGAAACCACAGATCTGCGCTGCCCTGGTTTGCCTTTGGAGATGGTGGCAGTGCTGAAGAATTTCTCCACGGAGAGCTGTGGCCGTGTTGGGCTGGGCAGAGGGGAGTGACCATTTACCCCAGGATGTTAGCGTCCCTGGGGTGCTGGGAAGAGCAGCCTGCCCAACTCTGGGTCATGGGGAGCTCCTTCTCCACAACTGGAGGGGCATGTGTGTGCCAGCTGCCCTGCAGGGCTCGGTTCAGGTGCTGACTCCTGTTTCCTTCATCCCTCAGTCTACCTCTACGTTTTTGGGTGAATGTGATTAAGAACCCCCAGTTTGTGTTCGACATTCACAAGAACAGTATTACTGATGCCTGCCTATCCGTGGTGGCTCAGACATTCATGGACTCCTGCTCAACTTCTGAGCACAAGCTAGGAAAAGACTCTCCCTCCAACAAACTACTGTACGCCAAGGACATCCCCAACTACAAGAGCTGGGTAGAAAGGTGAGTAGACTTTGCAATAGCTCCTTGCTTCACCTGGAGGACTTTAAGTGGATGTATGTGGGTGTGGGGACTTGGGTCTGTGGGAGGACTGCTCTTGGTGGCTGTCTGAAGAGAGACCGTACTAACGCTTGCGGAAGGTGATCCTCTCGTTTGGGAGATGAGGCTTTCTTGTGATTGTCTCCTGGAATGAGTTTGCAGTTGATGTTTGACAGAGCTGTTTATGTCTTGCTAAAGGGGTGCTGAAAGCAACCTCCACTTTTAGGTTGTCTGATGTTTTCTGTTGTAAAAACTTGGTCTGTGCTAGGGAATTGCTAACACCTGCCTTGATTGCTTTCAAAGAGCAGTGAGAAGTCAGCCTTGGACTAGAGAAGTGCCTTTTTTTGTACGACGACAATACAAGCAGGTTTTGCTGAAACGGTTGAAAATTACCATTTCCCATCTCTCATCCATCGGTACATCTCTCCTGGGATCCTGATGAGAGCACATGCTCTGAGGCAGTACTCGGGCTGCTGCCGCTGTGCCGAGGAACAGGGAGAGGAGCAGGTCCCCTGACTCCTTCCGACACCCTCTGCGTTCACGGTTAGCTGATGAGAGACATCCTTCTGTCCCGCTGAATTAATGCGGTGGTAAAGGTTCAGGGTTTGAATGCTACTGATTGCAAATTGATGCGCTCAGGCATAATGCTCTGTTTAGCTTGATCCTTTTGGGAGAGAAATCTAGGAGATGTCCTCCAGATAGAGCTACTGTTAAAATGTTGCTGTGTTGTAAAGTGGGACTTCATCAAACTTAAAAAATGGCAGATTTCAGGTTACTGATGCAACTTTCCCCTTGTGATGATAAGCTGTGCTATAGATCGTGCTGGGCTTTTTTTGTTTGTTTGGTTGTTTTTTTATTGTAACTGAAGACCCTTCCCCTTTTCAGGGTCTAGACCAGATACAGAATGAACCAAATGAAAGTTGTCCAGGCAACAATAAGCATCATATTCTCTAGTTAGCAAGCATGGGACTTTGTAGCCTGAATCATCCTTTGGCTACTCGCTCGTACACTGTTATTTCTGTCGCACCATTGGCATGCCTGGTGCTTTGCAGGCAGGTAAAAAGACAAGCTTCCTCCCTTGAGGAAGACAGGGCTCGGATCAGCAGAAAAGGTGTCCCTGAACTGTGATGGCTGAGATGAGAGATGAGCTGCGTCGTAATAGGAGAAAGGGAGGGCTGGAGGGGGCTTAGGAGTGGCGTCCCGCAGGAACATCACAAACTACATAAGGTGAATTTCTCAGACCTTGCCATCTCGCTGACAAAAATATTCAGCTCTGTGTGTACCTGGAGGAAAAAAAGGTATAAAACCATTCCAGAGTTAAACATTGGTCTAGACACGCTGTGTCCCTGGGGAGGAGGTGGGAGATCTCACTGGCGACAGATGTTCCTGCCATCGTTTATCGCCGGTACGGTCCCAGAGGCAGCTGAGCAGGGAGCAGAGCTGCCCTGTGCAGGGTGCGACTGCGTCTCCCACCGCTCCTCTGCCGCGGGGATTTACGGCATAATCGGTACTTCTGGCTTCTGGCACGGTTATCGTCGCAAAGCTCTGCAGAGGCAGGATGGGAGCAGTGCGAGGGCGGCTGAGTGGGACTGCTAGTCCTGACACCAGGTCTGTCTGCTGCTGTGGTTCAGGCACCAGCTGAACAAAAGGGCATCCTGCCAGTCTGAGGCAGGAGTAGCACGGTAAAGGGCTTGGGAGGTGTGAAGCCTGGGGAAACCCGAGGGGACTGGGGTCTTGGCTGAGGAAGGTGTCCTCTGGGAATGGCAGGTGTGGCTGGGATCTTGGTCCACATGAGCCATGCACACTTGTATTCAAAAATTATGGTTTTCTGCCATCCTTTGTGTCATCATAAAACCCAGAAAGTAAAACTGCTGCATATTACCTGGACATCTAGTTGTGGCAGCCACAAAAGCTTTCTTCTCCAGTTCTTCCTTGTACGTTCATCTCCCATGAATGGAGAGGCCTTCACCTACGGGGTTAAAGGGTGGCCGGGAGGATCTCTGTAGTTTTTCTTTGCTAATCAAAGCTAGCTGGAACTGAGAAGGTTGGGTATATTGTCCCTAATATTCCTCAGCACAGGTAGAAGTAATGTCAGCTTTAGGAGACGTCACTCTGCGAGTGATCTCTGCAGTGACGTAGCAGATCTCTTGATGCCTGGTTCAGTCAGAGATCCTCACCTCAGACCACTGCTCTCTTGGCAGCAGTGAGGAAATCTCTTGGATCACTTTCTGGGTGTGAATGAGCCTCACTGTGAAAACTACCCAAGTATTTTAGCACTAGCTGAGTTCAGCACCATGGGATGGAGTGGATCTTCATATTCATCTCCTCAAGTGGTCTTGCTGCCATCTGCTCCTATCCAAGTGCTTCAGCCGTGTTCCATCTCAGTGTTCAGCTGATGATGCTAATGATGCTAATCACTGTACCAGAAACTTCACAGAGTGAGGAGTCATGAGGAGTAAAGCAAACCTGGGAGAGACTGGCACGCTATATTTCTAGGTGGTGGGAGTGGCCAGGAGGGCTCATTTGCTGTGGGTAGGGTTTCTTTTTTAATAGAGGCCTGTGGACACAACCCTCGTTGTACAGTTCTGGGCTCCCCAGTTCAAGCAAGACAAGGAAATACGAGCGAGAGTCCAGAGGAGGGCTACAAAGATGATTAGGGGACTGGAGCATCTGTCCTATGAGGAAAGGCTGAGGGAGCTGGTCTTGTTCAGCCTGAAGAAGAGAAGGCTTAGAGGGATCTTGTAAATGCTTACAAGTATCTCAAGGGTGGGTGTCAGGAGGATGGGGCCAGGCTCTTTTCAGTGGTGCCCAGCGACAGGACAAGGGGCAATGGGTACAAACTGAAGCATGAGAAGTTCCGTCTGAACATGAGGAAGAACTTCTTTACTTGAGGGTGTCGGAGCCCTGGAACAGGCTGCCCAGGGAGGTTGTGGAGTCTCCCTCTCTGGAGATATTCAAAACCCACCTGGACAAGGTCCTGTGCAGCCTGCTGTAGGTGACCCTGCTTCGGCAGGGGGCTGGACTAGATGACCCACAGAGGTCTCTTCCAACCCCTACCATTCTGTGTGATTCTGTGTGTGACCTCAGTGGCCAGTCCACTGGTGCCTCTGCACAGTGTAACCCTCCCGCTGCAATGGAATGTCATGGCTTTGATCTCCCTGGGTTTTACTGAACATCCTCTTGGATATTCTGTTTTTCCACTCTGATTCTGGACCATATAAGCTGTGTCTGGGTTTCTGTGTGTTTGCTGAGAATATCAGTGAGGCAGATATGGGATAGGACTGCAAACCTTAAGGTGTCCTAGGAAATGTAACGTAGTATCCTGCTGGTAGCAATCATCAGAGAAGCACGAGGAAGGCAGGAAAGCACTAAGTTGTTTGACCCAGGCATGCCCCAAGACATCAGCGACTTCCTCAGCTGCCCAGGATCCTTTGAGTTCAGAGACGTGTCTGCAGAACCTTGGTTTTCACTGAAAACGAAAGCTCCTTGTAGCTTTTTGGTGAGCGGTAACTCCTAAGCGTGGCCAGCGGCAGTCACAGGCTGTGTTGAATGCCTGTTGGTGAAGAGAACGTAACCACGCAGGCGTGTGTCACTGCAGGGGCTGGATGTGAACTTGGCTTGTGTTCACGCACCAAGTATTCAATTGCATGCAAAGGGGCATCGTTGGCTCTAGCGGCGCAGGGACCGCAGGAGAATAATAGCAAAGCCTTACGTGTTGCTGCAGGCGTGGAAGATTCTGGTGGATGTGGTTTGGTGGCAAAACATGGCAATGGGGTGGGAAGGAGGGAAAATAAGTGGTTTAGGAGACGGTGAGAAATCCCTCAGAGCTGCGGCTCTTGGCTCCCCAGCACAGTGAGCTGGACTCAACGCTGCTACATCGGCAGCGTATTCCTCATGATGCTGACTGCTCCGCAGAGTGCTCAGAGACCTCGTGGTGAGGAGCAGCATTGTAATGGGTGATCACGGTGTGTCACCGCTGGGAGTCAAGATGCTCTTCACCTTCCCCCTCCAGTGGCTATTCTTAGTGGGCGCTGTGGCAGGGACCCATCCCCTTCTGTCTGTCCCTGTTCCTGACCCACTCTTCTGTTTCTCCCTTGCAGATATTATGCAGATATAGCTAAAATGCCAGCGATCAGTGACCAGGACATGAGTGCGTACCTGGCGGAGCAGTCACGGTTACACCTCAGTCAGTTCAACAGTATGAGCGCGCTGCATGAGATCTACTCCTACATCACCAAGTACAAGGACGAGGTAAGACGCGGCGATGGGGAGTCAAGCCTGGGCTGCGAGCCATGTCCATTTGCCAGCGTTTCTGCAGACCCCTGCTTTTTCCTGTAGAAGAACACCCTGTGAAACGCAGGAGAGCAGTGTCGTCTGTGTCTGTGCTTGGGCTGGTGGGGAAGGAAAGATCTGGGAGGCACGGAGCCAGGCTGGTGTAGGCATCACTTTGTTCCCCATATTTTCTGCAGTGAGTAATGTGGGAAACACCTATTTTTCTGCACATTTGGCACGTGAGCTCTGCGGGGCTGCAGAGCTCGTGGCGTTATCTCAGTGTGCCTCTCCTATCCGGCGCCGCGGCAGTACCAGCGCCGTGTGATTATACAGGCGGCGTCTGGCTCCGCTCCCCGGGGATGCTGCAGGATGTGGTGGCCTCTTCAGTGCTGGCTTTGTGAACATCAGTCAGAATGGTTAAAAACCCCTCTGTTGAAATTTATACAAATTAACTTTGTAAAGCACTGCTCAGATCCACACCCTGCATCTTTTTATTAAACCAATAAAATATGTAACTACAGTAAAATATGGATCTATACATATAACAGGATAGTATAGGTTTTATTGTCCCAATAAAGCGAACTGACAACTGCATTTGAACGGTGGCTTATTCAGGCGACAGAGTGCCAGAACACCTCCTTGCCTGGAGAGAGCCAGGAGGGCTGGCCTCTTGCCCTGCAAGGAGAGGAAACGGTGTCCCTGTTGCACCCTGTAGCAATCCGAAGAGGGACCTCCAAGCACCTCTGAGATGTGAATTTAGGGAGTCCATGGGCAGGTTGTAGCAGACAGGTCAATGCTGGGGCCACGGTGGCCAAAATCCTTGTGGAGCTCTGCAGGAATGAGGAGGAGGAGGGCATGGCTTGCCTACAGGGATGGGAGGAAACCATGGTGCTTGGGAAGGTGCCGTGTGGTGGGCACCGTGCAGCTGGTGGCCATGTGCTGATGACCATGCTGATGGGACCTCTGTGCTTCTCTCCAGACAACTTGGGATGGCACATCCAGGAGGCCGCTGTAGCTTTGTGTGATGACTTGGCTGTGAAGGGTTTTTGGGGTGTTACAGTTTGTACAACAGCTCTGTGGCTACCACGAGAGTGGAAGAGGAGCAGTCTGGAGGATCTAGATCTGCTGTGGGGCAGCCATCATCCCTCAGTCATCAGGAAGTGCTCACTTCCTCCAGGCTAGAAGTCCCCCAAGCCTTAAATAAATCCTCCAGGCCCTGGGCAAGAGCAGGGAGGGGACTGCGTGGCATTAATGAGCTGCTCTTTAGGGGCACAGGTCCTCTTCTTGCCCACTAACGGCAGCCTGACATCTGTTGAGTGTCTTGCTGTCGCCTGCTCTCCGAGCATCACAAGTGTGTTCACAGCTCTCAGGAACTTCTTTTATTATTTGTAATGGGATTAATAAATCGCAGCTGTTCCCTTTGTTTGTTTTCATTCATTAAGCACAATTATATGCAGCCCGATTGCACCCTCTTTGATGCAAAATGGGAGAGAATAATTTTTCCTGTTGTTCAGTGCAATAATATGCTGTCATTGGCTGTGAATGAAAATCATAATTAATTTTCATTTGGGTACTTGCATCTTGGTAATCAGTGGTCCTGGCTCCTTACAGCAGGTGACAAACCTGGGTATCTCTCTACGCTCGGCACAGGTTTCCTTTGACTGCACTGTTTCTGTAAGGCTGAGATAAAAGAGGAGCAAATAAATGCCGGGGCAGGTTGTGAGTCCTTTGACACCTCGGCATCCCAGGATACACAGCTGTCTTATTGGGAGCCTGCTGTAGGAGACCCTGCTTCGGCAGGGGGGTTGGACTAGATGAACCACAGAGGTCCCTTCCAACCCCTGCCATTCTGTCATTCTGTGATTCTGAGAGGCGGAGGGGGAACAGGCTCCTCTTCGGCTTCTCGGACCAATCTCATTTGGTTCCAGCTCAGCCACCTCTCAGGCACGTGGGGTTTTGATTTCTGCGTGAGGGTTATTGTAGTTATTTTATTCTGCGTGCAGTGTGGCGGCCGACAGTGGCTGCAGAGATGGATGGTGGGGGAGTGTCCCTGTAGCAGGTTTGTGGCAGAATCTATGAGCTCCCGCGAGTCCAGCTGCAGGCCAGGG